GGAAAAAAAAATCTATTCACAAAATCAGCATGGAACAAATTCTGAACAAATAAAAACTCCCATTAAGGCCTGATAGTAGATAAGGCCATTTGAGTTCTGAGCAAAAACACATGCCAGCATATTTATTTTGCTCTCTCTAAGAGAAGAGAAATGGTTATATTCAGTAACTAACTTCCAGTAATACACAGGTGCCCATCATCACTGTATGATCACTGGTCTGTCTGACAATTAGCCAATACACAGATTTTTATCACTTGCACAACAGGGTCATATTTTCCTTTCCTGCAGAAGCTCTCTTTAAATAGCACCTTTTAGAGACAGCTGAAGTTCATCAGTTGATGACAGGAACTAGACAGTGCCATCTGCCTTAGCAGCAGTTCAGGTAATAGCAAAGAAAAGCTAATTGCCAAACATGAAATGTGCAGGAGTGGATTTTTATTTCAAACTTCCCATTAAAATTGGATCTATATTGCACTATGTGATACTCTGAAGAAGCACTTTGAGTCAGCTCTAAAAGACCTTTGCAACCAGTATAAGTGTCCTGTGTTGAATATTATGTTATCACAGTTTTGCTGCTTTTGGTACCTGGAGTAGTTGGAGATCTTTGGTTAACACCCCACAGCACTTAGAGGCGAGCTGCATACCAGCTTAACAGCTGTACTTAAGGGGTATGTACATTTTCCCTCCTTTCCTGGGCTAACAAAGGTTATCTCCAGGATACTATTAAAGGAGAAGCATTACTGAAGTCACTAAATGCGTGTTGAATATCCAGGTCTCATGTATCTCAGGTTGCATTGAAGGTGCTCAAACCAGACCAGCAGAAAAGTGGCAGCAGCAGGTGAATCTACACTGGGCAGTCTAGGGGTGACTGCTGACTCTGGGGCCACAAAGGCTGAGATGGGTAACTCAGAGGTGGGCATACAGCAGCAGGAAGATCTCATGATGGAAGGAAGCTTCAGATGGCCTCACAGATATGGAGCAAAATACTTCCTTCACAGGGCAAGGCTGAGAGCTCAGGGCTGCATTTCCCCTTCTGAGGTCATTTTGCAAGTACATGGAAGGGAGAGGTGGGAACACACTTAAATTGTGACGATGACAGTAATACTGCTTCTGTTCTTCATTTAGTTTAAAAGGAATAGACATATCTGCAGTCAAGGACAGTATCTCAAGTCTACCGCATCCCAGATGGATTTTCTCAGTTCTAGGCAACAGATTCAAGTTCTTCTCTCCCAGTGTTTCCTATACAGAGATGGATTTATTTTCACACAGTAGCCTGGGTCCAGCAGGAAAAGTTCCTTAGTACCAGGTAGCTTGCAGCAAAAAATGGGAAGTACAGGGTTTGTTTTCCAACAGGGAAGTGATCCATGGACCTGGACCCACTCCCCAAGTGATCATCTACTCCATCACACAGGCCAGTGTATCCAGAAGAGAGCAGAGCTGTTTCAAGGGGCCTAAAAAACAAGCTCTTGGATCTCTGGGCAACTGTGCTAAGAAGTTGGAGCCTCTAGAGCTGCAGCCATCCTGCCAATCCTGCAGCTGTGGCCACCATGCCCTGGAGAATGCTCCAAATGCACAAATGTTCCTGCCCTTAGAATTTTAGCTCTCAGTATGTAACATTGTGGAAAAAATAGGAACCTGGGTGTCTGCTGCAGGCCTGTGTATACTATCCAGGCAGCTGACTGCCCAGCTCAAAGGAAGAAGACAGGTAAAAACAGAAATTTCCATGAAAATATTACCTCCAAGCAAAGGCGGGTTGTTGGAACTACTGCCTGTTTCTTAGAGGATATCAGTACTATGGTAAAAATTTAGCACACACCTCTCTACAATATCTTCTAATCAAGCTCCAGTATGTATTTATACTACCAAGTAAAACTATGTCATATTTAGAAGATTCTTTTGCTGGCATGTACACAAAATTTCTTGGACTCTTGCACTCATTAGAATATAATTTCCATATTGGGGATCATTAGAAAAATTAAAACAATGTCTTCTGTAAAATTAAACACAAGCTGCAAGGGGAATCTGTACAGCCCTATTCTCACTTTAGAATTTGGCAATAACACCCAGTCCTTTGGACCAGTATCTGTGTAATCTAGATGTATTATCATTATTTCTGAAGTGTCTATGACAGTGGTATCAACGCACTGAAGTTTGCCAAGAATCTGAACTCTCAAAGCAATGTCTTTCAAAAACTATTCAAAAAATTACCTTTTCTATTACTCTCTAAACTGCAGCATATACTTATAAAGGCCACATTCTGAAAGTTTGCATGGAACAGACTGCACACACTTCATCTTATTCCTGCCTATCGAGACACATTCAAACTAATAAAAATCATGAGATTTTTTTAAGAAGAATCATGTCTTGCTCTGCTTCTGAGTCACCAGGGATGAGACATCCCATTTTATGCCTGCTAGTTTTAAGTTTAGCATCAGGAAAATCTTTGCTCCATCAAAAAACTCAAAATAAAAATCTGTCCTTTTCCACAATACAGCATGCCTGTCTTTTTATTGAACTTCTTAATCTCTTGAAAATTCTCCTTCTTTTTTTTTTTTCCCAGACTATCTGCAGACTGTCTTTGACAGGATTACAGGAACCATGTCTAAATTATGCTTCTCTATGAAGCAGTCTTGGACTGCCACAGTCTCTCTGATCCAAATTCCCATGAGCCAGAATTGTTGGATTTGGCAAGTCTGCAGTTACACATGGCCTCCAGCTGTTCTATGATAGGTTAGGAAATAAACTGGCCTTCATCCAGCTCAAGGGATTCATGTCAAAAGCTGTGTAATAAGAATTATATGTGTGCAAGTGTAAACACTCACATTTTATTCCCTTTTTTCAACAGTCCACAGATAATTATTATATTACTAATAAAACAGGAAAAATGGCCTTTTCTTCTTGAAAAAGAAAAGGATATATTTAATTCAAGCTGAGAGCTATATGAAGTCTTCAGTATTAAACACAGCCTCCTAACAAGCATATATAAAAATTATAGCTATTCCACAGTTTAAGCAACATATGTATAGTTCTCATACAGAAACAGTGGTTCAGAAAAGATTAAGCATTCATTAACAAAGGTATAAGTACCTTTATTTTTGTTCCAAATAATAGTAGTAGATTAATTGAATCTCTCAATTTTGTTACCCAAAAAAGAGATCTAAGTGAGTTCAGTTGCACTTCAGTGACATGATGTATGGTCAATCATAAAAAAAAAAAAAAAAAAAGCAAAAAAAAAAAGCCTTTTAAACCTTTTGAAATTAAACAGAATTTCATAATCAGCAGAGAAATGAAAATCCATCCATTATCCACCAATCCTTACTACCAGAAGACACTATAAATAGCACCTATATGTTCACCAAACGGCATTATAAATAGCACTCTCAAAGGCCAAGAACAGTGTCCTCTGGATTGGGTTTCTGAAGCAGAAAACCAGAGTTGAAGCAGTAGTTGAGTTAGATACAGAAATCATCTGAACAGGAGTTGCAAGACTAAATGCAGACCAATCTGATATTTAAACAGGATGTATGGCATCAGTTCTTAAGTGAAATAATAATGTGGAGTGATAATGAGTATCAGAGATAGGACTAAAAAACAAGGTAGTAATTACACTAGCACTTTTTGCTAGCAAATCACCAGAAGAATCTAAGCAGGTCTTGCCACTATTTTGCTAGAATCTTGACTGAAACTTCTTAGCTACTCAGAAGGCACCAAGAGAATGATGTACAATGAAGGAACTGCACTTCACAAAACTTCTGACAAATAACAGTATTCTGAGGCTAGTATGTGCTTTGAGTATAACTGCCTACATTTCAGTAAGATTAAATTTTTATTAAAAGAATTTTTTCTCCTTTTCTTCTTACTGTGAAAATTTGTATACCCTACTGTTGTGAAATAGTTCTTTTTATCAGAAAAAAAAATAAAAAGGATTAAGAAAAAATTACCTAAATTATGGTAATAATTTACATTTCCAGTAACAAAAGATGCATTTTGAAAAGTATTTGTATCACAACTGTCTTTACACAGACCAGTTGAGATTATGTTAAGCTTTATATTGGCAAATGGTGAGCTATAAACCTGACCCTAAGAGTTTGCAGAATAAGTGATAGGTATAAGGGGCTACAGTAAGTCTATAAGTGGCAGCTACTAAGTTTATACTAGAGATATCACTAGTGCTTCTGACTTTATGTAGACAGTATTACCAGGAATTCAAATTATATGGTGCTGGCTAGAACAGTCTTAAAATGGATTCCAGGATTCTAAGATAGATAGGATGAGATAAATAAGATATATAGAGAATGCAAAACAAAAAAGACTTTTTAGTCTTAGAGGAGGCACATCTACCCAACTGGAGATGTGGATATGAATCACAAGCCCTCTATTCTCCCTCTCACACATTGGCTACCCTGGGTACATCTGCCACTGCCTATTGGCTGCAAATCTGGGGAAGTGAGAGATCAGGGTGCTGCCAAGTGCCACAGTACACACCCACAGTTCAGTTCCAACCCAACCTAAGGGTTGCTCAACATCCGAAAAAAACATCAGGGATCATTATGGAGGAGAAACAAGGATTCCTAGCTTCTGGCCAAAAGACTGTAGAGGTTTATATTGGGAATGCTGGCTGAGAAAATGAATATGCAGTTTAGGAGCATCACAAAAGTATGTGGAAGAAAAGGATCCCCTACAACAATCAGTGTGTTACCAAATGCCCAAGCAGGCTCTGGCTGTACTTCATAAGGAATCTTATGCTATTCCCCACCTGCCCCAGTAGATTTACCTTCTCATCAATAATAAAGAATTTGCTTTCCCCAAAAGCCCAGGCAGACTAGAAGTAAAACATCTTTGTGTGTACTCAAAGATAAAGCAAGCACTTGTAGCTTTTGCTGATTAGCAATTACAAGATTAGCCCTGGGAGGAAAAAATCTGTAAGATTTATAACTGGAAAACACTTTTATAGACCTTTGTGGACCATCTGCTAGAATTTAACAGAAAACTCTGCTTACCTCATAGAACTCTTCGCTGGCATTTTCCATTACATCTAGGGCTTTTTCTGTCAGGAATCTCTCCATACATTTTGCTGACACTAAGATTCCCTGGATGAAAGAATGAGCTCTGCATTCATTATAATGGACAACTTCTCTCCAGTCTTTCATTCTATCATTGTAAATGAAGTGACACTAAAAAAGTACATTTTGGGCCATTTCCAGGCAGGACATTATGCAATTCTGTTCCTTCCTTAACCTATAGGGCAATATGCACCACACATCAAATATGCCCTATAGCTCCTCTGCTGTCCTCTTTACTGTTCTTCTAAAAATAAAAAGAAAAAGAAAAAAAAAGGTTCTGCCATTACTTGTGTCCATAAAATAGCAGACAATATACAGCAAGATAGCCTGTATTTGCAGTACTTGAAACTCTGCTTTTTCCTCTTATTCAGACTAAAGTCTTTCCTTTCTTCTCCCTGCATGTGACCAGTTTCTCACAGGAGACCTAGTTTGGCACAGCAGCATCAGGAAAAAGGCATCAGGATAGATTCTCCATGATGTAAATTAGAGTGTTCCAGTCCAATCACATCCCCATCAAGGTCCTCAAATGAAAGCTCCCACTGAGATACAAGCAACTGGGTTTCCATCTGTGTGTCTCTTGCTGTCAGTGGCTATTGTTTAAGTAAACACTGGTTTGTATTACTTTCTCTTTTTTTATTCAATACATGTTGAGGCCTGGTTAAAAGGAAACAAAAATTGCTGTATTAAAAGACTAGTATTTTCAGCGTCTTGTGATGTAAATTGCTAATTTAAAACCCAAAATATTGTTAAAGTGTCTTTATTTAATAGCAGACGATTGCAAGCTGTAATTTGCAAGCTGTAGTTGCAGATGGCAATGTTTTTCTCTCTTTTCAGCAGTACAGTAAAGTATTTACTGCAGTGCTCTGCAGACAATGACATACCAATTGCAAAAGAAATGCTCAGGGGTAATACAAGCTATCAGGATTCCCATGGGGTCCAGCATGCAAGGTACATGCAATTAAAGCATGAAATTTAACTACCAATTAAAATATTAAAATCTCTTACGTGGTCTCAAGCAACAACCCTTTGCAACAGACAATTTTAGTACATTCAATTGCCAAGTATGTTTCTAACACAAAACAACAACTCTTCTTTTCTTTCCTGATCTTTAATCCCTTTAGATTGAACACACTTATTTTACAATTCAGACCTGGAGGCCCAAGTCTGGATTTGAAACTGACAGCCACCATCTGGACCACATGAGCAGAAAGGGTTATATGTGATCTGGCACATGTCTAGCATACTGTTCCACTTTTTGTACATCAGGACATGCCAAAATATCATGAATGTATTAAACAAAAGCTTTGCCTTTTATTTCATTTTGTTAAACAACTCATAGATGTTTATTTTTCAAGAGAAAAATTATTTAACATCATCTATTTAATAGCATTGTATGAAACACTTAAATATTGCATTCTGTAGTGCCATCTAGGGGATTTAAAACCTGGAGTAAAGTGCTCATCAGATAAAAAAAAACAATAAACACTGAAAAATCAGCTATGACTGCCAAGGCAATTTCTTATGTATATCTAGAGGCTTGGATTACTTTTTCCTGCTACAATAGGAATATTTGAATAAGGTCCATGTACAGTGTCACATCTGTAGAATCCATAAATAGGAGAAGACATATTGTTCTATACTTCTCCTTTATGGACAAATAATTTACAAAAGCAATCTTAAAAATATATCCAAAATAAAATCAATGTTGTGCTCTGAAATGGGATTTAGAAAAAAATTCTAGCCTTAGTTCAGTTACCAGGAAATATATGGGAATTTTTTTTCCACTATGGATATTTATAAAAATGTCAGACATGTTATTTTATAAAATTCAGGAAATTGAAATAAAACAGGAAAGCTACTGGCATTTTCTTCGATCCTCATCTTCATTCAGATTATTATTTTTCTAAAGTTTTCTCAACCAGATGGCATTACATAGTTATTTCCAATGCATCACTGAAGAAATTGTTAGAAATTATTAATTTTGTATCATACTGATAGCTGGGATGATCTATAAGCTCTTCAAACACATTTGTTTTTTTTTCTTCTTACAGAAACCAACAATAACAAGTTCACACATTATAGAAGTGATCACTCAAAAGGGAAATGCAGAGCAAAAGTCAGACTGTGTAGACCAGAGAACTACAAGCCTACCTTCACTCAGGTCCATTAGTTCATACCAACACAGAAAAAGAGCTATCTCTGGATGATCAGCAGTCATCAGCTGCCAAAACATCATTGAAATCGGTGAATAATTTACACAGGCAGAGAACCTACCTACACACTTACATGATCATGTTTTTTTTCATAGTCCCAGTAACAGATCAGTTTCCAGCCATCAGAATGAGAGACAGGACCATTTACTTTACCTTTGAGTTTCCAAACCTCACATTTTGACATTCTACCTGGAAAACATGCACATTGAACATTTGCAGTTATGTGCTGAAAACTATTTTTTCATAAGGGTAAGATTTGAACAGCACCTAGTAAGTGTCTTAAAAACACATTTAACACAGCTTTTGATACAGCTTTTATTTGGTGCTATTTTAGGCAGTAGTCAGCCTTTGATCCTGAAAGAATCTTCCATATGCAGCTGGCTGCCCCCAGTTCCCTGCTCCTCTCACTGCAAACTGCCACTTGGATGCATTATCCTTTACACCCTCCAGTCACATAATCTACATCATAATTCCTCCCTTCTCACCCGCCCAGCCCAAGTTCCTGTATCTTCTTCCCCACATTTTTTATCACATTTCACCAACCCAGGGCTGCACTCTGTGCCTGCCAAGGCCTCTACCCTGTGCTCCCACTTGGAAGGACAAAGCACAACAGTGGCTCAGGCACTAGAGAGTGCATAAAGGAGAAGGCAGTAGACACAGGCTGTTTATTACACATCTTCTGATCAATAGCAATTGTTTACTGGGCTCTTGCCCAATGCAGACCAACAGGTATATCACAATTTAATGAAAGGGGAGGCAGAAGCTCTGAATGTGTATTCCTATAGGAGATCATGCTACTATCTGTAATTAGCCCACAACACTTTAAAAGGAATTTATAAGGGATGATGCAGTATCTGAAAATATGATTCTACTAAGTGATGTCATATTTTCTGCCACCTTCCCTAGCAGCTTCAGTCCAGGACCTTCTTTCCCAACTACAGGAGCCCAGCCCAGTGCCTGGGGGCCCCTGGTCTCTGCCCAGCCTGAGGGACATGATTGCTGCTCTCCTGATCGCTGCTTCTACTAGTAGCAAAGCTGCTCTGTCCCAAAGACACACATGGACATAGAGGACATGACATGGCTGGTCACACAAGCTGCCACAGACAAAATGCTGCCTTCAACAGTACCTACACACAGAACTCATAAAACACAAGCCAGAGAGCCAGCTGTCCTCCTTCTCTTCAGCTGGCTGAGACAGGAGGTCACTAGGGCAGGCAGACACATGACAATCTCTAGATCCACAGGCATAAACATACTCTCCTTTCCCTCAGGTACCCGCGCAGCGCCCAGGTCCCCTGCTTGCCAGCTGCTCCAGCTTGATGCTCACTAGCAAACACACAGGCTCACACGTTCATCTCTCATGCACTTCACATTTTCAAGTCTCTCTGGATGTACCAGCACAGACCTTCTGCCCACCTAATGCCCCAGCCCAGACTCAAGACCCCCTCCTCACTGTCTGGACCACCTTGACATTTACTAACAAAACCCCTATCCCTCCACACACCTGGTTGGAGAAGATCAAGCAGCAGCAGATACCTGGCATACAAGCTGTGATCCCCAGCTTCAGCCGCCAGTGCTGTCTCTCACTTTCCTCTCTCTCACCACTGCTTCCTTCTCCCAGTACTGGGAACACACAGTGTTCCTGTCCAAGTGACTGGAAGTTAAAGAAGTTACTCATTCCAGCAGATGGCACAGAGGCCTCACTGGCTCCAGTAGCTGCCAGCACAGGCACCCTCACCCCTGGCCTGACTCCAGTAACTATCACAGAACACACTGAAACCCATACAGGTCTCACCAGCGACTGGCACTTAGTCCTTGCAACACACACACAGAGTGAGCTAAGGAAAGATTTAATAGGACATAAGAACATAGGACATACTACAGAGATCAGGCACAGGGCTTGGTCAGGCAATGTACTGACCTGCACCATTTTACAAGCGACCAGTCTGCTTCCCCTGCAGGTTCCCCACGGTTTTATCTATTCATCCTTGGCAACCTCCTGATCCAGAGTCCCCCTGGTTTACAGTTTTATCTGCTATGAAGTCCAGGTTGATCTTCCTGTAAGTGACATCTGTGGTTCCTTGACAGCCCACAATTAGTGTGGGTAGAGAGGTCTGTGTTTTGTCACTGTCTCCATGTTTGCTTTATCAGGTCTGTGTCTTAGGTTTGGTTTCTGGTTTCCTCCTTTTTCCCTTGAATTCCCAACAGACAAGGTCCCTGATCAGATCTCTGCATTATCTCCCTGGAATAAACATTCTGACACTCTCACAGGTCCCCATCAATTAGTGTGATTGATCAGCTTTGGTTCCCATCACTGCCTCCCTTACCATTTGTTCATCAGCTTTGTGTCTTTCTATGTCCTTGTTTATGGCTTCCTCCTTTTCCAATTATCCCTTGGCATTGGAAAGGTCCTTGACCAGATACCCTTAAAGCATCAGACACTCTCCAGCACACAGCCTTGTACATACCCTTCCATCCTGTGAAAAGGCATACCAGAGATTATGCCTTCCCCACGTTGGCTGATGCTGCTGATCCACTTTCCTATTTCTCCCCACTTGCTTTGTGGGAAAAAATATTGTTTCCTTTATAGCAGTGGTGACCATAAATGGAACAATGTAACAGTGCTAATGGGAAAAAAAAAAAAAAAAAGGGGGTGTTTGTTTGTTTTTTGGTGGGGTTTTTTTGGTTGTTTTTGGGGTTTTTTTATGAGCACAGAACTACAGAGAATATAGCACAAAACCAGAAAAACAGTCAATATATTTGACATTTTCCAGGTAACAGGACTTAACTGGCTTGAAAAATTTGAATGAAATAAAGTTTGAAGTGGTGTTGATATAGAAAAGGATGCAAAATACAGGGTTTACAACAGCAATTATTTTGAGGACAACAATCTGTTCACATGAAACACCATCTATATTTAAAATAAGAAGTCACAGGAGATCAGGGGAATTGCAAAGCAATGAGACTTACTGTGGTTTCAGAGAAAGTAATTAAGAGCCTAATTAAGGACAAAACCATATAAAAACAAAAGTAAAGCTTGATGGGAGAAAAAACAGCAAAGCTTCGGCAAGAGGAAAGCATTTTTTCCAACCCTGATATATTTCCTTGAGGCAATGAACACTCAAACAAGATTTTGTGGGCCAAACTCAGAGAGGAACTTGAAAAAGGCAACTAATCCATGGAAAGGACAAATTTTACTTCACAGTAATATAAGGTAATGTACCCAAGCTGTAAGCTGACAGCCTGGAAAATTAGATCTTACTTCACCATAACCAGATTGTGCACCCAGTATCTGATAACCATAATAATAAAGTAGAAGCTTAAGGCAATTCTAATTGACTTGCTCTACTTTGCATGACAAAACTGACATTTAAGGTATCTACAGCAGTATGTAACTGCTATAACACCCCTATATGAACAGTCATGAATTATACA